GGGGGGGGGGGGGGGGGGGGGGGCACTCAAGGGAAGTTTGGGTAGAGGTGTGCCGCCGAGGCCTTCAAACCCCGACCCTGTTTAAGACAAAAACTTCTCATTTCGCTACCCTGTTTAAGACAGGAGACACCACTTTCTGCTTTCTGACCCTGACTTGTTTTGTTTTGCATACAGAATTACGTAATTTTTCACACTAAAATACTGGAAATAAGAAAAAAAAAATATTGGTATTGCAAACGAGACCGCTCATCGCAAGTCTTCACACTCTTTGAAAGGCTTCCAGTCCAAAAAGACACCCTGTTCAAGACGCTTAATAGTGAAATTGTATACCCCGTTTAAGACTCAAGACCTTCAAAACCATACCCTGTTCAGCGGCACATACCCGTATAGGCCAAATAAGGGAGTGCCCCCCGGGGGGGTGCAAGTGAGAACACATTACTATAATTCTTTGGCTGCTCGATTTCTGATCCAGTGCACACTTTTCCTTGTTTCTGCCTAATGAACTATTGATGAGTTTTTAAATTATTTTTTTTCTAGATATGACCTTGTTGACATCACAAGAGAAGCATTACACCTTCTAGTGATTCCGGTCTACCATGACCTTGTACGAGCCTACAACGCCAAGTCGGCTTTTCAAGTTGCTCAGATGGGTAGCAAACTACTTAACATGTTCGATGACCTGGACAGCATACTCCAAACTAATAAGAAATTTCTTTTGGGATGCTGGCTGGACTCCGCCAAAGCCATGGGCACAACGCCAGAAGAGGTCAAGCTTTACGAGTATAATGCGCGCCTTCAGATCACTCTTTGGGGACCTACAGGGAGGATTAATGACTACGCCAGCAAGATGTGGAGTGGCTTGGTAAAAGGCTATTACAAACAACGATGGAAGCTTTTCATCGAAGAGCTTGTGTTTGCTGTTCGCCAGAGGGTGAAGTTGGATAATAATGAGTTCGCTAAAAGGTTACTTGAACGAGAGACTGCTTGGACGCAAGGTAGAGAAGAATATCCTTGCCAAGCAGTGGAAGACAGTGTTCACGTGGCGAGGTTCCTGCATAGCAAGTACCGCTTATACTCACGTCGGAGAAGGATTGAGGTGGTTTGTATTAAGGAAGATTAGGACGACGGCTGCAAAGAACTTTAATATTTAAGGTATTTTATTTGGTTTGAAATATGGCAAAACAATAAACTTGAACTTAAACTTGATCCCGGAAACCAACCTCAAGATGGAACTAAACTCGCTGAAGTCTACCCACAGTCTCAGCGATCCGTCGTTCAGTTGCATCTATCGTTGCAATTGACGTCGAACAGTTGTGTCGTTATTATTATTATTATTATTATTATTATTATTATCATTATTAGTATATATTTTTTATCTATTAACGATGATAGGGAAACCAGCCTCGTAAATAAAATGCGTGAAAGAATGAGTTAACGATCTGAACGATTAAATGAAGCATTATAAGGTCTGTGCCCTTTTTTGTCCGTTGCCAGTTGCGCCGTGACTTCGCCTGACCTACAGCAGGCAGAGGTAAAATGTACGATCAAAAAACCTTCTTTCATGGTTGTTTTCAAGGTATAACTTTTTAATCATGTTAAAATGGCCAAGAATTTTTCTTCAGTTTAAGTAAAAAGATCAGAATTTTACAGAGACAAAGTGTCTCGATTCGTGTACGGTACCGCAAATGATCCCCAGACCGCAAGTACTCCCCAAAATGGACCGCAAATGATCCTCGACCGCAGATGATCCCTAATTTCGACCGCAAATGATCCCGTGAAAAGTTGAGGAATTGAATGGATTTTAGATACGGATGAAGAACCGTGCTGAGTACTTGAACAACATGTAAGACAATAAAACAAATAAAAAATCCATTATACTCGTACTACTTCTTTTGGCAATTAAGGTTTCGTCGCCGTGAAAATTGAAGACAGAAGGGACGTCAAGCAAGAAACTTGTCTTTTTAGAGGAGCTGAAATTGTCTGGAAATAGAAAGCCAGACACCTTGTACATAGCAGGAGCCTGATGGACAAATGAATGGTTTATTTTAAGAACATTTAATTTTATTTCTTTTCTGAAGTTTTAAAGTACACTTCAGAGACCATCACGGATCTATACGGGACCCTATATAGACAGAAGTCAAAATGCCGGAAATACGGAAATACGTTACGACTTCTGATTATCGCTCTGTGCCGGGTTTCAGTTAACGTTTCGAAATATATAGCAGCTACGTATAGCTCATGAAAATGTTGCGACTTGTCATGTGGACGCTGTCGACGCTAGCCTGTGTATTCATTCCTTGTGCCTTTGCCGCTGGAGAGAGTGACCAAGAAAATCAGAAAATAACAAACGAAAGAACCAACAAGCGGATATTATGGTGCTTGTTAATAAAGAATATTCCTATTGTATTGAAGGGGGTTCGCAAGTGAGTAAATTATTCTCTTTGATTGGTCCGATAAGTTCCTGTTTTCAGAGACTATCGTGGTTGCAAAAGTAAATATTTTCTCAAGTTGACATTTAGGGTCGCAGACAGTATCCGATAGATCGATTTGGGAAATTGCTTGTATAGTATGTTAAAGTTCTGTTCAGGTTAGATTGATGTTAACCAGTAATTAAGCAAGACACTGCATTGCTTTTAATGTGATTTTTTAGTTCAGGGAAGTCCTTTTATGCATTTATTTGAGAGGTAAAATTTATTCAGTTTAATACTTTTTGTTTTGATTAAACTTGATATATTCAAGTAACTTGAGTTCAGGCCATTCCAATTTTCCTCTCTGGATCATTTGCGCTCACCAATGGGGTTCATTTGGTTCGAGAATCATTTGTGGCTCATTTGAGGGATCCTTTGGGGTCTGGGGATCATTTGCGGGAGTGATTCACGTTTTACAAGCCAGGAGCCCGTGATCGTGAAGGCCTCCGGTTACATGTCACGCATCGCCTTGCTCAATTATAATACTGACTTGAAGTGAAAGCATCTCTAAAACAAGGAAGTTAATACGTATTGGTCATCGAGTTTATGACTTTTGAATACGTGTTGCGCATCAGTGACAGTTCCAGAGTTGCCTCCACTATGCAGTCAACAAGCGCTTTTGCCCATCTTTTAACTTTTCTTTTACTAAATGGTTTTTCTATTGCGATAAAGCTCGATCACAAGATGTTCAACGAGTTTCATCACATCAGAAGTCACGCATCTTCGGACGTACAAACTAAAGCAGTTAGAAATCTTATAACTCGACTTCTACCCGAACATGCTTCGAAGTTCGATATCGTCGTCCAGCCTTCCTTTGGACCGCCATATTTGGACGAATTTGAGTACAAAACCACTGAAGAATCCAAGCTACAGATAAAGGGAACAAGTGGTGTAGCGTGCTCGCTAGGTCTACAACATTTCTTGAAGAATTATTGTCACGCGCACATTTCGTGGAGTGGAGACCAGTTAAAGATACCCAAACCGTTTCCTACTGTGAAAGACTTGACAAGGATAACCCTACCTTACAGGTACTCTAATGTACACCGCAGTTCATCAGTTGTCAGGCTCACGCCCTGTGTGCCAGAGGTTTTCTAGTTTGATGACTGATTTGCATGGTTTGACACGTCACGTTTTCCGTATAGGATTTAAGTATTAGCATACAGAAACCTTTCGAAAGATAAAGTCCAGAATCTGGGAAGTGAAAGTAGGAAAATGTGCAAAGACCCTCGCCAAGATTCAGGTCAGAGGAATATTTCGCATACGAGATATTCGAAGAAACGTTTTACCCAAATTTATAGAGATTTGTATGGAGACGCCATCCTGGTGCTCATCAGGATAAGCTCCAACATGGCGGACGGAAACCAACAGAAACATCTGTTACCGAGTTTTGCTACAAACGTGAATTTATTCTTCAAAGAACTCATAAACATTAAAGTAATACTTTTTCTAATACATGAACTGTTTAGATAGGAAAATTCCCTGAAATAAGTTATTTTTTTAACCTACATGACAGCTCCTTTGGCCGTCATATAAATGCCGCGTCACGCAAAAGCTTAGAAATTCAAGCGTACTCTATCACAAAACCAAGAACCCTTTTGCAGCGAAAATTTGTATGAAAATTAGTTTTCAGCTGCTCTAATACATCATGAAAGTAAAATCTCGGCAGGATAGATAGTTTTGTAGTTTGAATTTTAGTGGCGTCATGAGAAAACCAACAATTGGTCTGAAACAGGCAGGGTTTTCATGAAGTATGCTGTGCACCCCTATCCGAATTTTCCAGGTGAAATCCCCAGCGGGCTCACTACAAACAAATCGATGTTCATTCCGAGCCCTTTACTACCTTCATAGAGGTAAAAATAGATATGAGCTTGGGGGGGGGGGAGGACACAATGTGACATGCAAATACAGTACACCCGCCTGTTATTGTTCCCCTTCGCGAAACTTTCCATTGTCTCTGTGTTTCTCTGTCAGATTTCGCTACTATCAGAACGTGTGCACCTTTAGTTATTCATCTGTCTGGTGGAACTGGACTCGCTGGCAGCGAGAAATTGATTGGATGGCACTGAATGGCATCAATCTGCCACTTGCCTTCACTGGACAGGAAGCAATATGGCAGAGGGTGTATCACAAAATTGGACTCACACAGCAAGAACTGGATACTTTCTTTGCAGGCCCAGCATTCTTGGCATGGTAACCTGTGTTACTTTTGAAGGACCAGTAATCATTATGCTTAATGCTTAGCAGTCTGGTTGTAAAAAAATCTCTTTTCAGCATGCAGAAAACTTATACTTTTACTTCATATTAATTTCCTTGGTCTAACTTTAATAGCGCTCTAAAGAATTGAATAGCTATGCCTCAGTGTTTCAGTGTTTCAGTAGTGAAGTCGTGCATTAAAAAGTGATGCGAAAAAGCACAGAGGGTTTGGGATAGCAACTGCAAATTCATTATTAAGTTTGTATTTGGATTTAAGGAAGTTATGCCTTCAGCTGTATGCCGGAGTTCTAAGCAAATACTTACTACAATAGCTGACTGTCGGTAGCCCAATATTCTTCTGGAAAGGTTCCGAAAAAAAAGGCAAAAAAAACTTAACAATGACCGACGGATTCTTACATTACCTATCACGATTCACTTTGCTGAGACCTCTTACCACACTTTACAAACCTCTTTAATTTGTAACCGCTAAGAGTTCCTTCCACAGTAACGTAATCAAGTCTTTTCTTCCAGGGCAAGAATGGGGAACATACGTGGGTGGGGAGGTCCTCTTCCGCCATCGTGGCGTAAGAATCAACTTGATCTACAACACAAAATTCTTACAGCGATGAGGAATCTTGGCATGGCTCCGGTTCTCCCTGGATTTGCTGGTTTTGTGCCGGATGGTCTGAAAAGAGTGTATCCACAGGCAAAATTGTCCAGAGTGAGCCGATGGGGTCGATTTAACAACACTTTCTGCTGTGGTTATCATCTTCACCCCAATGATCCCTTATTTAAGGTAAGTCACTTGTATATTTTTGTACACATTTTAACTACAAATCTAAATAAAAAAAATTCTGAAGCACGGTTTAAAGGAATTGCGTCTTATGAGCATAACACTAGTCTCGTAGAGCTGTTTGACGAGGCCTACGGCTTTTCGTCCTTATCCGAGAAGTTTCAAAGCAAAGGCAGCACGTTCAGATCAATTTAGGCTTCGGGGAAACTGCCCACCTAACCCTCCCCTAAGCTAACATCAATACTTACTTCTCACTTGGGGAAAAATGTTGGCTTAGGGGAGGGGTAGGTGGGTAGTTTCTCTTGCAGAAACATAAATTGACCTGCACGTTCTCCTCATTTTAGTGTGAAGACTCGGGAATCGAGCCCGGAGCCACTGATCGTATCTAATTCTGGCACCCAACCTTTACATTACAGCCAATCGGTCTTTTGACAGTCTTTGAGTTGGGTCTCTGTAAAATGGGTGGCTCATTTAAGGCTGCTCGGTAGTTACTGGTAATCTGTTTTATATTTCATTTGCAACAGACCATAGGGTCCCTCTTTATCAAAGAACAGATATCCGAATTTGGTACCAACAACATATACAACGCTGACGCTTTCAATGAGATGAGGCCCACATCCAAAAAACAAAGCTATCTATCCGGGCTCAGTAGTGCTGTATACCGGGCCATGGTGGCTGGAGATCCTAATGCCGTTTGGCTTATGCAAGGATGGCTTTTTCGGGACACCAACTTTTGGAAGCCACCTCAAGTGAAAGCACTCTTACAAGGTTTGTAAGTAGTCATTAAAGACAGATTAAGGAAGAACGTATAATTCTGTAAAAATATATAAACCTGCGAGTGAGCTCTCAACTTGAAAAGCTACAAGCGAAGGCTCCAGTCTTTTGTGGCTTTCACACGCGCGTGACTTTCGACTCTCGTGCTCTCGCGAATGCTCGCATGCTCAGGTAACGGCACGGTGTTGTATGTATAGATGGGTCTCTTCAATAATTAGCTTAAGAGGTTTCGATGAGTGAACCACTTCACCATTGAAAACCATATGAACTGATTACAAAACTTAAAATGAAGCAGGAACGGCGAAGTCCGTTAGTGTTAACGAATCAGTACTCAGTCGCTTGGTTCTCACACTGTGATAGCCCTACCTCTTTATTTCAATTGAGTTTGTCGTTGGCTCTCTGCCATGTCTCACAAGAAAAAATATCTTCAAAACAAATTTGACCAGGGATTCGACGAAGACTTCAGATTATCGGCTTAAAGGCATGTTACATGAATATGCTGTCCTCCTAAAATGAAGTCCATGATTTCGTTGATGATGATGATCATGATGACTACGACGGACAATGGTAACTACTTTAATTTATTCTAGGTTTTGTTACTATGTCGCCTATATATCTAGCAACAGCCACGAATGTACTGAAGGTGGTAATGATGATGACGATGACGACGACGATGATGATGATGATCATAATCATCACCACCATCATCATCATCGACGCCATCACCACCACCACCACCACCACCACTATCATCATCTCCCTCATCATCATCATCATCATCATCATCATCAAATCAATTAGAATCCAACATTGTGAGAGCTATTTTGTAAACCATCAATGATTCTCTTTTTAGGAGTTCCTCGGGGACGCATGATTGTCTTAGATCTGATGGCCGATATCGAACCTTTCTGGTCGCGTACTGAGTCATTCTATGGACAACCATTCATCTGGTGTATGTTACAAAATTTTGGTGGACAATTGGGACTGTTTGGAACCATACAAAGTGTCATAACAGGTACAATGGTATAAAACTGTTGAAATACATCAAGTAATATGCTATACAGAAGAGAGACAATTATGGTGGGCGTAATTTCCACGACATATGACATCATATGAATTAAGTCTCATATTATCTTGTATATTTTGCATTACTCTCAGAGCTCTCCAAAAGTTCTCAAAATATAAGGGGTTGCATTGATATCACGCATTATTGTTTTATTGTCCTTTTCTTCTTTGTTGAGTTCATTTTCATTTCATTTTCGTTTTCATGTATTCTTCCTCATTAGTCGGTCTCCCCAATATGTGCTTTGGTTTTCAGGGCCAGTTAAAGCATTCAACAGCCCTAATAGTACAATGATAGGCACTGGCTTAACACCAGAAGGAATAGACCAAAACGACATGATGTATGAGCTGATGAACGAAATGGGTTACAGGATAAATGCCTTTAATCCTGTGGAGTTAGAGGAGTGGATAAAATACTATGCCCTTCGAAGATATGGTAGCACAAACGATAACATAGTGAAGGCGTGGAAGCTACTTATCCACTCGGTCTATAACTGCACATATTACTGTATTGGCTTCAAGCATCAGTCGGTTTTCGTCAGACAACCAACCTTTAGGATTGCTCCACATATATGGTACGACCCGGAAGATGTGTTTAAAGCATGGGACGCATTGGTCGCGGTGGATAAGGACTTTTCCCTCTCGGAAACATTTAGGTAATTTAACGTATGAGTGTATAAAATGAGAAGAAGAGCCCTTTGATTAAGTGTATTTTAAACATAATAGAGTTAGATTTTTTTGAAAATACATTGTCGGTACTACCCATGTAGACCACACATTGCCAACTTTCACACTTTCGGCTTTCCAAAAAGAGTGAAATTGTATACTCTGTTAAATTAGGACCTTGAAAACCATACCTTGTTCAGCGGCCCATACACGCCTTGGCCAATAGGAGAGTGAACCCACCCCCTCCCCTCCATGGGGTTACATGAGTGAAACTGAATTGTTGGTCGATGACCAAATAAACAATGCTATTAAGAACAGGGCCTTCAAGAGCCAAAGGGATAAGTATTCATTACCGAGTTTTAATGAAAAGCCGTGAACGAATCAAGATAACGCAATTCACGGACTGTTTCCCTATTGTCGCAAAATTTACGAATTTACGAAAGCAAGAAAGTGTAATCCGTCTCAACCATTAGAAGTGCTTGTTTTGGCCAAAAAAATTCTGAGCCGAAATTCAGCGGTGTCTGCATCATACTTTTTATAAACACTCTAATTTTTTCCTTTGTACTTCCTTCATTGTTGATGAGCTTTGAAACTTCTTTTTAGATATGATCTTGTTGACATCAGCAGACAGGCGTTACACCTTCTGGTGATTCCACTCTACCATGACCTCATACGAGCCTACAACGCCAAGTCGGCTCCTCAAGTTGCTCAAATCGGTATCAAACTACTTAACATGTTTGATGACCTGGACAAAATACTTCAAACCAATCATAAATTTCTTTTGGGATGCTGGCTAAACTCCGCGAAAGCCATGGGAACAACGCCAGAAGAGGTTAAGCTTTACGAGTATAATGCGCGCATTCAGATTACTCTTTGGGGACCTACAGGGGAGTTTGACGACTACGCCAACAAGATGTGGAGTGGCTTGGTAAACGATTACTACAAGCCGCGATGGGAGCTTTTCATTGAAGAAATTGTTGACGCTATTCGACAAGGAAAGAGGTTGGACAATAACGCGTTTGCTAAAAGGTTACTTGAAAGGGAAACTGCTTGGACGCAAGGTAGAAAAAAATATCCTTGCAGACCAGTGGGCGACAGTGTTGAGGTGGCGATGTTCCTGCATAGGAAGTACCGCTTGTACTCGAGTCGAAGGAGGATTGAGTTAGCTTGTATTAAGGAAGATTAGAATGACAGCCTTGTAATGAAGTGAATAGTATAATATTTATCCCTATGGGGAATCAATCTGATCTTCCCCAAGGCACTAAACTGTACATCACCGTATGAGGACCCAATCAACGCGACAGCGCTCTCGGGAACCGACCTCTCTCCCCATTCCTTATCCCAATCCTCCAAATCCAATGGAAAAAATTGTTGTGAAGTAATTTTGCGTTTGTTTTAAAAGTCATTATCATTAAGATATTTAACGATAGTTTCTTTGTTCCCGAGTTTTCGCTCGTGCTTAGGGTTTCGTTATGTTTAGGTTTTAAGATCAAGGTTAATCCGTATTTGTGTTATCAGGTTTTGTTTGATGTCATTACCTTTTTAATGGGTTTGTCGACATAATCGACATAACTGTCTTTTATCTGATCTTGAGGTTTAATTAAGCTTGATTACCAGTCTTTGTGGGTTCGTTTTGGGACCATAGTTGACCTTGATTGTTATCTACATCGGAGTTCCTGTTTGGGTTTAACTTAGAGCCTTGTGGGTTTAGTTGTCAAGCCAGTTTATTGGTTTCCTAGTGCTTGAAGGTTCAATCTTATGAGCTTGTTTTTACCCACTTTTGTGATCAACAGGAAGTTCGCATAAGTCACTAAGAAGGGCGTTCGTAAACTCTCATGGTCAGCAAGCCTGAACGCACCTACGTTTTACTAATATAAGTTGCCAGTATTTGGCACAGGTCGCTATTAGTTGTTGAGCTGTAGTAGTTGGTGACGGACATTAATAAAAGAAGGAAAGTATCCAAGTTTTGTCAGAGTCCTGGTATACTCCTGCTAGTGAGGTAACCCCGTCAAAGAACTCCCTTACACTACGTTACATTTATTTCTTTACTATTACCAACTTAACACTCCTCACGATTCGAGACTTTTAAGTTACATAATACACTCTGTTTTTTTTTTCTTGCTTTTAAGACATTCAGCCCAGAAGGTCTGATAGAAACCCTTTAAAGTATCAAAGCGTTTGTAACCCTTACCAGTATCAAAACAAAGATCTGCCAACTTGGCAGCCGCACCTGCCAAGTCTACCACTTCTTTCAACGTGATGTAGGCCAAGGCTACGTCGCTTCTTTCCGGCCAACAAGATCCATAAAATTCATGGAGATGTAGACCCATAGAAGCCATTGAGATTGCCACCCCTATGCGGAACCATGAGGCGTGAAGTGTTCACTTGCTAGCCGTTGGCGTAAGGCTACGGAGTACACATTTAGCCTGTTTTGGGCAGCCTGTGAGGTCATGCATTGACGAGAAACTTTCCCTATCGTTGTTACAGGGCGGAAAAGATATCCGAACCAAGCACTATTCCCATAAGACAACAACTCCGAGCCGGAGAACGGTCGATAGAACAGGAAAATATCTACGTTATGACAGACCCAGCCGAGGATCTGCCATCGGGGGCTTAAGAAACAATTCCCAGGCATGTGGATTTTTCTTTATGTAGGCCACCGGCAATGAACTCATCAGGAACCCTTGACCTTAACGCCCCAATCAGAGGCAAAACATCCGTCAAAAAAACATGTTTCCAATGCACATTCAACTCTCGTTTCCATCCCAGTCTATATTAACCAACGATTGGGATATTTTAGATTGCAAATACAGGAATCGCCATCTGACTTAAGTTTCCTCTTTCCTCTCCATTAATTAGCACTCTTATTCGCTCTCTTCCTTAACCTAAGAGAAGGGAAACGGAAACAAATAGATATCCCACAATAAAGAAACAATCCGGAAGAGAAAAAAATAAGGTAGACAAAGTTCCTGACCAGGAGGGAGTGAGATTGTATCAGGCATGTGAAGTTGCTGCCCCACAAGCAGATAGGAAACAGGCAAATATCGATAGAACAAACTTACTGCCCCACAGACAAAGATGAAACTGCATCTGTACAGCCCCACAGGCATAAATCGACTGTTAATGTTACTGCCTCACTAGGAAATACCAGAAGCCTCACAGGCAAAGTTCGAACTGTCGCACATGCATAATTCAAACTACAAAAACGTACCGCCGGAAGGTGCAGCTCAAAACTACGTCAAAATCGTTCGTCTTGGGTCATTGTTAAACGAAAACACTTGTTTCCGACGGCACTTAGCCCGCGAATACAGCCGTTTTGTCCTTCCTGGCAAAACGTCCTTAGCGGCAGGGAGCTAAGAGAAACGGCTGTATTCGCAGGCTAGGCAGCACTAGTTACCGAGTAAAGTTTTATAAGCTTGCATACCCCGTGATGCCTTCCCTTATGTTTTTTCGTTCTGGGGCTAGCAAGTCTTTAATTTCTGTCAATTAAGATGTCGTAAAAACAGAGACCAACAAAAACACCATTCATTCAAAATTTATTTTGGGGCAATTTATGTTTCAATATAAACTCTATCTCTGTGGAGTTATCTTGCGAATCTGAATCCTATCAATATTTTCTCATTGGGCAAAAAAAGCCACCGTATGACAATTCATTTATTATAATAAAAAAAACTGGAAAGTCGCTTCGTAAGGCACTCTATTGGCCATAGATGTCGCCAAGGAAACTCTCTAGCCCTTTTATACGCCCTTGCAAATAAATTCGCTCTCTCCTCGCAAGTCTACTCAACAAAGGTTTAAGCAAGTTTCCCCACCCTCCTCTCCTTCAGTGGCGCTGGGAATTTTCTCTATCAGCTCCCCCTACGCCTTATACAAAATTTTTTCATCCATAACTTATTCATCATTGGGTAAGGGCCGGCCGCTCTAATGTTAGTAAATTTGATAAGTACCTAGTTTACCCTACTGCAAGTCCCCTTGACCAGTAATTTTTGTCCCTTACATACAAAGGAATCTTTTTGGTTTCTTTTATTTTATTGTTACTATTATTATTATTATTATTTTGCATTTTATTTTTACGGCCCAAAAAGGGAGACTGAAGCCCCCTCATGCCTTCCTTCTACGTGGTCTCTGACTAAGTTCCCTATTCGGGTGTATTTAGAAATGTTGTTTTAGTTGCGTGATCGCAGAATTATTAGCGCGCGTTAAATGAGGTAATAAAGTACCAAAAAGACCTTCCTATAGACGATAACAGGTTCTAGTGTACTCAACTCCAGGCTCTTACCTGCCCCAACATAACTAGCGCTTTCTGATTCTCTCCGTTTTCTCAATAAATGTGCCAAAATGGATGTCGCCTGAAGAGGCTCTCCATTAGGACTTTTGGGTTATGTAATGATCATGAGGTGTCCAACCTGACTTAAAAGTACCATTCTCAGGGTCTACAAATTATTAACATGCATTTTACTGCATATAATACAGCTTATATGTAGCTGAAAGAAAGATGACAATCGAGGACCGTTCTGTAACTACAATGCACGAGACAGTACTGAAAGAATTAAAGATGTTAAGAATCCCTAATCAAAATAAATAGTTAAAGACCCCCCTTTGTTCCTCCAGACTTAATTTAAGACGACGAAAACCTAATCAACGGTAACCACAATAACGTTTTTCCAAACTGAGGGGATGCTGTCGTAGAGACTTATTTCCAAATTAACGAAACTCTCTCCTTTTCATGCGCGCAAAATTTATGACGCTTTTCTGAAGGCAAATGATACTAAGTAGTAAAACAACCGTATCGAGATAAAACTGTAGTGATTTTTCTCAGTGCTTAGTTAATTAAGCAAACGTCAGTTGGCTTTTGAACTTCAAAGTTAGCGCGTTTTTGAAAAGCGCATCAAAGATAGTAATGATTCCAAATCGAAATAAATGTACCAGGGAAAATCTGAATTCTGTAAGAACATAGAATACTCATGCGCTGTGTTGACAACCAGTGACTGTTGCGTGTACACTCGCAGGCATCAATCGAGTTTGCTTACAGTCATTGCAGAGAAGAANTCAGTTGGCTTTTGAACTTCAAAGTTAGCGCGTTTTTGAAAAGCGCATCAAAGATAGTAACGATTCCAAATCGAAATAAATGTACCAGGGAAAATCTGAATTCTGTAAGAACATAGAATACTCATGCGCTGTGTTGACAACCAGTGACTGTTGCGTGTACACTCGCAGGCATCAATCGAGTTTGCTTACAGTCATTGCAGAGAAGAACAAAAATTGCACGCGTCCGATTTAATGCATTGTTGCTAGGTTTTCCCGTTTAGTATAACGTTTGGTAACTTGAAAAATCGACTTCTGGACTCACTTTTCAACATCCAGAGACAAAGCAGAGTGGCAAGGACAAAATTGTTGGCAGGAGACTGTCGGGAAGATCGACTTAAAGTTTTCCATTTTCTTCGTCGATCTTGTTAGGAAGCTAATTATAAACAGCATCTTTGGGGTAAACATGATCCAAACAACGTAATGTAGCCAAGAAGATACTGAGTGTGGTCATTTTAGTAGTATTCTAGTTTATTGTTTTTGAAGCTGTTCTAGTACTTAGAGAGTATTGCTCTTCTTATCCCTGCGACGATCGATAGCAGTGCACATGCAACTATTCCTTTTTGAACTTACGCGTTGAGCGGAGAAATTATTGTCCGGAAATATCGGGTTTCTCGAAAGTAGGTTCAATCCAAACATAGAAAATGAAATCAAGGACCCTGATAAAAACTGAAGTAAGCTTTCGCGGACTTAATAACAGTATATAAATACCTACGTGTTCCTTTCAGCAGTCGAGGAAATTACTGAAAGGTTAACTTTCAAAAAAAGTTTTTAATATAGATGTATATATATTTCCTACAAAGTATAGAGCAAACAAGAGTACAGTTAATTGAAGGTTGTGTGCATGCATTTTAAACCCAGCCAATTCCTAGGTTTTGCTGAATTGAAGGAAGTATATTCCGTCCAAAATAGAAAGCATAATTGAGCGAGAGTCAACACAGGCAGACCATCCCCTGTTCGTGTGGTCGTTGTTGTTACTGAAATCTGAAATCGCTCTTTTGTAGTCAGGGGCCCCCAACGTCAATTTGTGGAAAATATCTGTTCCGAAGACGATTTCAGATCTAGAATTCTCGGAACATTTTTTGTAAAATTTCTTGCTTGCCTACCTCTCCTAGGATTTTCAAACATCTAAAAATTGGTATAATTACCCATTTTTAACAGACTTTTACCCTAAAAAGCTCACCTAGAATTTTCGGGAGCCTTTTTTCTGGCTGAAATTTTCGAAAAGGTAAGTTTCGATCCCTATATTTTGGGACCTCTAGACTTTCAGCTAAGAAATCCGAACAGATGAAAAATGTTTAGTGGATAAAAATATGCCTATATCTACCGTTTTAGTACTAAAATACGTTTAACAATGCTATGATTAAGTAGTTTACAACTATAGTCTCGTTGGGTGCCCATGTGTAGTCAATAGAAGAAATACAAATGAACATTACAGCGACTACAATTTGCTCCAAAACAATTCGCTGTCGTGATTTTTATCTGGTTCCTCTAGAGTACAAAACACCGATTCTCAGATTTCAATAACAACAACGGCCACACGAACAGAGGGTGGTTTGCCTGTGAAGTAATTATGAGGTATATAGTAAAGTAACTTTTCGCCGAAGTTATGTATTCGATGTTTCCTTCAGCAATCAGGGAAACAGCTAAAATGTTACATAAAAGGTTGTAAACTACATTTAATAAAAACAGATAACAACCTTTTCATTCCTTTTTTTGTACCAAATAAAGAGCGAACATGAGTATAAGACTCTGTTAAACAAGTCATATTGAGCCCAATATCTAGATCTTTTGTTAATCCATAAGAATTTTACCATCTATCCAAATTGATTTCTTTGACTGTGTGTTTATTTCATGTCAGTAACGAAAGGTGACCTCGTTCGAGCTTTGACCTGTCTGGATGATACAATTGTCATGTTTCCAGTTACTTGTTAGAGCGGAAGACATGGAGCTGAAAAGCAAATCAGTGTTTAGCGGAACTAAGACTGACAATGAAACAGATGAAAAACAACAAGCTACTTCGGCTTTGGCCAACTGAATTTGAAACAAACCGAAAGTAGAATAAATGTTTGCATCCTGGAATAACTGAGTACACGCATAATTGAGAAACTGAACCGTGAATCTTAAAGTTCATTTTTTAATCAATCAACACTTTTTAACATGATAGTATCAGTTTGTAGTTAGACTTAAGGATTTAAAGCTTAAAGAATATCCACATCTCACTCCCGTGCAAGCATTTCCGTATTTGGCCGAACTCTTGGGACATTCTACTGACTGGGTATGGGTTTTTGCCTCTATGACCTCAACGAGGTAACTTATGCGAGTGTCTCAGCCAAACAGGCGAGCCATGAAATAACTTTTGGTGTATTCAGTTGTCATTTGTTCGAAACAGTTGCTCTGTAAGCAAAATTATTCTTCTTATTTACAGGAGATAGAACTTAAGTAGACTAAGATGATGAAATAGAAAATTTACTCTGGAAGTGCTAATTCAGGTGCTAGAAAATATATCCTAAACCACCGACACGTTAACTAGTACAGAGAATAAGGGAATCAAGCACGGACAGATAAAAATATCTCTAACCTCGGTGGAATCCTTTTGAGCCCACTCGACCCCGTATTAGACCCACAGTAAGTACCCTTCAAAACAAATCTAAGTTGTCTAGCACAAGGAAATAGCTGCCAAAGTTAAAAAAAATACATTTTCTTCCTAGTTTGCGATGAATTGATTCCGCAAAAGCTTGGTCTTAATCAAATTTCAGCAGCACAGGAAGAACGAAAAGTACACGTATGTGCGAACCGTGAGTATAAAAACCCTTGTAAATCCGAGATAGCCAGTGTTACATCGTCGACTTTCCAGTTTCGGTAGGACCTTTAATTAAAGAGTAGTCGAGAAGTGTAAGGTAAGTTATACAGTATTATCGACTCGTACTGCGCTGTATGATTAAAATAATTGCTGCTGACATTAAATTACCGTAAAATATATATTAGGCTCAAGAGACTTCGAGGATATATTTTATAAACTCGCCCGGTAGTTCGAAGTTCCATCTAGCCCAAGTTCCCGGCAAGACTCTTATTCTCATAGCCGAAAATTCCGGAGACTCGGTAAATACTAACAGTAGTTTGGGACACTCACCAGTTTTGCTAGACCGTCCTATGCCCGGACAAGTATAACATGAAGAACATATATCCTAGCTCTACATGCCATTATCTTTCTTTTTGTGTATACAAGTCGTATATTTTTGTTGGTTGGTTTCTTGATTGAGCTTGTTGTTTGAATTATTTGTTGATGAATTTATTTCTTCATTTATTATCATTATTTAGCTTTACCCGGAAAAAAAAGTAAGTATAGCTAAAGTACAGTGTGAAAGATGGCACAAGCTCACCTAAGCTTTCTTATCGTCGCTGTCTTTGCATCCACGATAACCGCCATGCATTTGCCGTATGAAGTTCTCGACACCATAGTAGAACTCAGCGACATCGATGACTACAAAGACCTCAATCGAGTAAATGTATCTGATGACCGAGGACCCACTCGTCTAATCTATCGACTGGACCTTGACCCAGAATACATAGCCTATTACGAAATTGACACCGGAAGTGAGTACATAGTTTTGTCTTCCGGGCGTAAAACTGGAGATTTTCGAGAGGTTGAGAGTGGACCGGATCCAAGACCAACCGATGTGGTCCTACAGCAGGCTCAAGAGAACGGTCAGCAGTGCGCAAAGTTTTACCGGCTATCACCATTAGGATTAATCATTTGTAAAAATGACAAGGGAACTGTAGTCGCTGCAAGTTACAACTGGACGGCTGATGTTGCTGAGGTAGGATTATTACATTACAAAAATATAATCGACCTAAGAGGCTATGTCACCGCGAGTTTTCTTTATTTATGGTCAAAACTGAGTTCGCCCAAAGTTGGCTCACTCTTTTGTCAAGTTACATTCCATTATATTTCCATTTTGGACATCGAAAGACAAAATTCTTAATTTTCATGCGTGGTAGAGTAGTACAGTAATTTTAGAATCAAAACACTAAACCATTATTTCTAGTTTATCTCTGATTGTAGCAGGTCTTTAGGGTTGTTAAAACAGTAAAAGCTAAAGGAATTGTGACACAGCTCTCCTTCCATCCTGTTTTCATGACAATGAAAGGCAGTAGGCTTAGGTTGTCTTAATCGGTGACGCTGTATAGCGATTATGTATCAAAGTGGCGGAGTGTAGCCCCATGTTCCTTTGCTCTGGGTGGAAGTTTTTTCACTGATTAACTTCCAGTCCTCCCTACCCCCTGCCAAAGAATGGCTGCTTAACCAAGAAATAACAAAAAAGAAGCTGACCCCTTATTCTTAAGGGCGTGACCCCCCTTCATCCTTGATCCTTTTATCAAGGTGCAGCAACATGAATTTGCTTGTGAGCGCGATTGAAAGGAAGTAAAACATGTATAACTAAGCTGTAATTTCTTCACACATTTCTTCACACATCCAGACAAAGAAGAATCCTTTGTCTACAATCGTATATTTCAATAGTCCTAAAATCAAGGCTCCGTCTTGTTTAAAACAGATTGAAGACTGGCGAAAGCTGGATCAAATGGTGAGAGAAGATGTCGATATCTTTAAGAGGCTGTGGAAAGAGAGGGCAACTGAGAGAAGAACAAAGTCAGATTGGGCCAGTACTGAAGTTCTCTCCGGGGTCGGGAAACTCCATCGTAAAGAAATTGACGAGGAGATGCTTACAGCTGGCTCCGTCGTGTCAGTGGCGATTGGTGAGTATGTGCAATCGGTTGACGTCTACATTACAAATGGCGGTAACTCGCCTATCCCTCTTAACACCAGATCAAGGTGGCAGCAGAAACTTTGTAAGGTGCTTGTTCACGTTTGTCAGCAGAACGGAAGTACCAAGGTAAATCCATCAGCCATAAAGAAGACACCCAACAATCTGATATACCTACAGTTGAGGGTCCATGGCAATAACACCTTCGTGGGAAACACATTGCAGTGGCGGGAAATTGGATTTATAATCGAGATCAAAGGACGCCAGAAAGAAATGGTTAGAAAGTATTTTGCAATTAACTTGCATTCCCAGCGATTTCGACGATCAACAAGTTCCGAGCCTTGTGAAAAAGCGATTCCTAGAGAAAGTGATTTTCCTGACTATGATCAACACAAGTGTTGTGGTTGCGTGAGCGGATGTAGTCCTGTGGCCTGGGCCCAAGTGTTTGGATACTACGATAGACTTGCCTCCAGTTTTAGTTATTCACCCTTCAGTAGACTGATATATGGCGATATGTACACAACGGCCCCAATGACATTGGACAAAGTTAAAAAAGACCCAACAACAATGAAGGTCAAGGCTTTCGTGGAGGACATTCGATCAGAGGTCGAAACATTCTGTAAGAATGGAGAGGGTTTGACCACCAACAGCAAAATGCATTTGATCGCCCCATGGTTCCGCGCCCGACAAGGTTACAGGGCTAGAATTGTCAGCTATCTCGAAAAAAGCAAAAAGAGGAGTGTCAGCGATGCAAGAGTTGAGTATGGAAGCAGGTCCTGGATTCAGTCCAAAGGTGTTGAATGGCTCAATGAGGGCTATCCAGTAGTCTTTGGCTTTCCCGTGGAAGGTGGGGGACATTCGGCTGTCGCAACGAAATGCTGGAAAAAGGTTAGACGTTATCGTCATTGCATCAGCAGGCAAAATGGATGGCGGCGGGGGTCTGTATGCTCCTGGAGAAACGCCTACGATTACGAGTTCTTTCTACATTATGGCTGGGGACGTTCAAATAACGGACGGAAAACAATTAATCCCTGGGATGCTCATGTTGCCTATCTAGGCGACGAGCACTTTTCGTTTCTCCCTATGTAAGATAATCCAAGATTCCAAGCTGTAGATTTCGGATTCCAGATACTGGAATCTGGATTCTTTGTCATCGGAACATGGATTCAGAATTCCCATTGTTAACAAAATCCGGCTACTTTTGGCAGAATTCCAGATTCCAAAGTCCAGGATTCCGAATGCCACAAGTAAAATTGTCCCGCATTCCCGAATCTGAATTACCTTTCATGGGGCGCCATTAATGCTTTCAAGTAAGATTAATGCCTGAGTCTTTCCGCGTTTCTCATAATTTTTAAAGGGGAAGGGGGGGGGGGGGTATAAATGTTTGCATCCTGGAATAACTGAGTACACGCATAATTGAGAAACTGAACCGTGAATCTTAAAGTTCATTTTTTAATCAATCAACACTTTTTAACATGATAGTATCAGTTTGTAGTTAGACTTAAGGATTTAAAGCTTAAAGAATATCCACATCTCACTCCCGTGCAAGCATTTCCGTATTTGGCCGAACTCTTGGGACATTCTACTGACTGGGTATGGGTTTTTGCCTCTATGACCTCAACGAGGTAACTTATGCGAGTGTCTCAGCCAAACAGGCGAGCCATGAAATAACTTTTGGTGTATTCAGTTGTCATTTGTTCGAAACAGTTGCTCTGTAAGCAAAATTATTCTTCTTATTTACAGGAGATAGAACTTAAGTAGACTAAGATGATGAAATAGAAAATTTACTCTGGAAGTGCTAATTCAGGTGCTAGAAAATATATCCTAAACCACCGACACGTTAACTAGTACAGAGAATAAGGGAATCAAGCACGGACAGATAAAAATATCTCTAACCTCGGTGGAATCCTTTTGAGCCCACTCGACCCCGTATTAGACCCACAGTAAGTACCCTTCAAAACAAATCTAAGTTGTCTAGCACAAGGAAATAGCTGCCAAAGTTAAAAAAAATACATTTTCTTCCTAGTTTGCGATGAATTGATTCCGCAAAAGCTTGGTCTTAATCAAATTTCAGCAGCACAGGAAGAACGAAAAGTACACGTATGTGCGAACCGTGAGTATAAAAACCCTTGTAAATCCGAGATAGCCAGTGTTACATCGTCGACTTTCCAGTTTCGGTAGGACCTTTAATTAAAGAGTAGTCGAGAAGTGTAAGGTAAGTTATACAGTATTATCGACTCGTACTGCGCTGTATGATTAAAATAATTGCTGCTGACATTAAATTACCGTAAAATATATATTAGGCTCAAGAGACTTCGAGGATATATTTTATAAACTCGCCCGGTAGTTCGAAGTTCCATCTAGCCCAAGTTCCCGGCAAGACTCTTATTCTCATAGCCGAAAATTCCGGAGACTCGGTAAATACTAACAGTAGTTTGGGACACTCACCAGTTTTGCTAGACCGTCCTATGCCCGGACAAGTATAACATGAAGAACATATATCCTAGCTCTACATGCCATTATCTTTCTTTTTGTGTATACAAGTCGTATATTTTTGTTGGTTGGTTTCTTGATTGAGCTTGTTGTTTGAATTATTTGTTGATGAATTTATTTCTTCATTTATTATCATTATTTAGCTTTACCCGGAAAAAAAAGTAAGTATAGCTAAAGTACAGTGTGAAAGATGGCACAAGCTCACCTAAGCTTTCTTATCGTCGCTGTCTTTGCATCCACGATAACCGCCATGCATTTGCCGTATGAAGTTCTCGACACCATAGTAGAACTCAGCGACATCGATGACTACAAAGACCTCAATCGAGTAAATGTATCTGATGACCGAGGACCCACTCGTCCAATCTATCGACTGGACCTTGACCCAGAATACATAGCCTATTACGAAATTGACACCGGAAGTGAGTACATAGTTTTGTCTTCCGGGCGTAAAACTGGAGATTTTCGAGAGGTTGAGAGTGGACCGGATCCAAGACCAACCGATGTGGTCCTACAGCAGGCTCAAGAGAACGGTCAGCAGTGCGCAAAGTTTTACCGGCTATCACCAATAGGATTAATCATTTGTAAAAATGACAAGGGAACTGTAGTCGCTGCAAGTTACAACTGGACGGCTGATGTTGCTGAGGTAGGATTATTACATTACAAAAATACAATCGACCTAAGAGGCTATGTCACCGCGAGTTTTCTTTATTTATGGTCAAAACTGAGTTCGCCCAAAGTTGGCTCACTCTTTTGTCAAGTTACATTCCATTATATTTCCATTTTGGACATCGAAAGACAAAATTCTTAATTTTCATGCGTGGTAGAGTAGTACAGTAATTTTAGAATCAAAACACTAAACCATT